AGACCTGTCAAACAAGAATTCTCGCCAGTAAAATATTTCCCATTTTTGAGATCATAAATTGACTTGCGTATGACACTGATGGTGTCATAAAGAAGTTATTGCTGATGTATTGCTGTGTTCGGTAGTCCTCTACTTATATATATATATATATATATATATATATATATATAATGAAACTCTCTCTCTCTCTCTCTAGATATATATATATATGATTATACGTTTTACCACTTTGTAACTGGAAGGGATAATTCCGAAATAAATCCAGGGGGAGCTCAATGTAGACTCTAGATCATTATAATGATAATAAGAAGACGGAGATTTTAATTATCCAATTCGTTCCAACGAAATGGATTATTAAAATCTCCGTTTTATTATCTTACAGAGATATATATACACACACACCAGAACGGTTTATAGAACCAACTGACAACTTGTTAAAACCTAAAACCCATATCCAGAGAAAGTCTTGGTCAAAAACGACAGTACTGAAAAAAAGAAAAAGGCCTGAAAGCAAATTTACCTACTCAGTAAAGTGCACGTAGCCTAGATTGACGAGAAGCAGCCAAAAATTAAAATCTTATGAAAGAATGACCCTAGTCGTAACCCGAGTTTTATGCACACACGATATTCAGACTACTTTTATATAATTAATAGTAATATGACAATTGTCACTAATGTGATTAATGTTACCTTCAGCAGCACGACTGTAATGTTTCGTAGACGGACTCTACAGCAAACACTCCGTCCACTCCTCAGTGGATGTCCATGAATACCAAAAAAATTCGATGTTGAATGAAATGATTATTATATTCCTGTCTATTGGCATTTACTCCTTTCAGGAATTCATACATATTTGTCATTTATATTTGTGTATTTACTAGCCAGGTGGTCCCAATATATTGTAGCCCATAGTGACAGAACAATATTTTTACTTTTCATGTGTTTAATAACGCAAGTACATAATGTTAAGAAAGTGATAATAGTTAATTAAAACTGGCGATGAAACACATACTCGGACGCTGGCAATTGCTTTGAAGCCAGGCTCCGATATCAATACGTTTAAAACACGTATATCAACTCACTATTTTACCCTGTAAAAGTAACGTTTATATTATTAAAAAATGTCATGCAATCTCTTGTCAGTAATGCGCTTGAACATGGAGATAATATACTGAGGTTCACATATTTTACCTCTCAGATAATGACTGTCAGTATGAAGAGAAACCTTTTCAATGTGTAGCGTAAGGTTAGTGGATGTCAAAAGGGATAAAAACAATTTTGTTCATCCTGATAAGAATATGAAGATAATGCTACACATTTAATATCAATTATAAATACATAAAGACTACGCAAATAGAGAATAGAGAGAAAATCCAGCGTTGTGACCAGTAATTACAAAAGTTAGCGATGAATGGACATGATAATCATGACTTTCTACTGGAGATTATTCTAACCTGAGGCGCTATTGAATTATCTATAATGCTAAGCTCCGTTGAGAAGTTACGGTTATTCAAAGACATCATGCGGGAAATTGGCGTAGTTTTCTGAGAAGGAACTGTAAAGCCGTGCCCTTTTCAAGCACACAAAAGTCCTATGAAAAAGAGATTAATTTTCAGGTGTTTCATCGAACATGGATAGGTGGGCAGGCGACAGAATCTGTAAATGGCCGGTCAAGAAAGTTAAGACGAGGATATAGAATATAATTACAAGCAGAAATTTGCCAGTAATCCAAATTACTGCCGAAGTTCTTCTCGCGGAAACAAGTTGATCTGATAGAAGTTGCGCTTTTCTCTCTTGACTGAAAGTTCTGATATCAATTATCCTTAACTTTCCTAACTTTTTATTCTACATCGATCTATCTATATATCTATCTAATATATATATATATATATATATATATATAAACATAAAATATATTAAAATAATTGTAAAATTTGGTCCATTTTATATATATATATATATATATATATATAATGGACCAAGTTTTACAATTATTTTAATATATTTATTGTTTATACGTTATTCTTATATATATTTTTGTATACAAATAACCGGCCTGAATGTCCGAGAGATTTCATGAAAAATATGTGTTCTCCGACAAGAGTCGAACCTGTATTCTACACGGAAACGTCATATAGTCTGACGTCCTATACAATTTAGCTACAGAAGAAGCGCCGGAAGACATATTTTCTATGAAATGTCTCGGACATTCAGTCCGGTAACTGTTAATGCTGTTTATTAATAAACAGAGCATTTACTTAAATATTTGTATCTATAAAAATAACGTATAATATATATATATATATATATATAATACATATATATATATATATATATATATATATATATATATATATATATATATGGCCGAATACTGAGACCAGGTGCACTACGTGCCACAAGGTCCCCAAATGAACATCCGCATGTTTGAATGTAGAGCTGTCCTTCTCGTAGACCAGTTGTCATTCAAGGCCATAGAACCCAGTCTGTCCTGCTATTTACCCATAGCTGGGGGAGAAGAAGAGGATTCGTACCTTTCCCAATGGTATTAGCCCGTAAGTGAATGTAATAAATTCGACTGGAATTCAAACTCGGATCTCCGATTCCTCAATCCGAGCCACTATCGACTACTCCACCGTATACTATATATATATATATATATATATATATATATATATATATGGCTGCTGAGTTATTTGAGAACATAGCATGAATGGAGTGGAAGTCATATATCATGAGAGAAGAGCTTTGAGGAAAAAATGGGCATCAATAATCTTGAGACACTTCTTGATGAATATACTGAATTGATCTGCTGTTAGCATCGATAATGCCTCTATACGAGGTCACATTTGCTGTCATGTCCCAATCAGATGATCTGTATCTATTTTGGACAATGTGCTATTTATGGCTTCATAGATTTTATTGCAGCCCTCATTTTGGGGTGACGTGTGCGTGGAGATTGTAACTCCCTAATTTTTGGTTCGTCTTGGTTATTCCTTTTCTTAGGCACTCTAATTCAAGGGGACACAAACCAATAATTTCCCGCACCCTTCCTACAAATTGGGTTGTTCTGATAATATTAGGATCATTAGAATGTCTTATTAGTTTGATTGCTGCCGTTCAATGTTGTCAGCGGCTTCCAGCTCTTTGTGAACTTTGACAACATATCACCGTGCAACGTTCAGAGAGCGAACAGTTAATAAATTCCCATTCTCTGCTTTTAAGTCAATGATTACAACAGACCTTTTCATTTTCTGGGATAAACTGATGTTTGATATCATTTATCTGAAACAATTTAGAAAATGAATAGAGATATTAAAATACGTGTTACTAAAGCAACTCTTTTTCCAACTCAAGAGTAAAACACCAAACTGATCTCTCCAACAAATTTTAGGAATTGAAAGAGAAATACATGAATCCTCAGATTAACGGGGAATTCATAGGTTTTGCTCAAATTCTTAGTAAGTTTAGGGGTAGATGTAATTTGAGTTTAGAAGAGAAAATCAGAATTATTAAATTAGAACATCAAAGTATTTTGCTAAATTTAATGAATGAATTGGTCGTTATGGAAGTAAATTCAAACAAATATAAAATAATTTCAACCTTGCACTTTTATCACTAACACCTGTGCGTTTAATTTTTTTTTCTAATCACTCTTTTTAAGTAACCTTCCGATTTAATATTTTTTTTTTTTTTTTTTGAGTTTTTGTTGTTTTTTTTTTTTTTTTTTTTTTTTTTTTTTTTTTTTTTTTTTTTTTTTTTTTTTTTTTGTTGATTTTTTTTGTTTTATTATTTTTTTGTTTTATTTTTTGTTGTTTTATTTTATTGTTTTATGTTAGCTATATCTAATACTCTAAATTGCTACCTGATTTTGGTCAAGTTTCTTTTTTATCTGTATTTTTTGTAATTTCCTCCTTTTTAAATTTAATCTCTAATTATGTTATGTGTTTTAATTATATCTCACTTATACGGTACTTGATCTCTTTATTTTTTTTATTGTTGTTGGGATTTTATTAACTCTAACATTATTACTATTATTTCCACCGCCTTTCTTTAATCATGTCTATCCTATATTAATTTCTGTTAATCTTATCTATACCATATAAATTTCCATTTTTTTTTTTTTTTTTTTTTTTTTTTAAAAAAAAGAATGCAGATTTTTGTATTTTTCTTATTTTCAGTTATCATATTTTAAAATTATCATGTTTACTTTTAATTACTTTTTTAATTGATAGCTGTGTTTTTTCTAATTATGTTTATGTATGGGATTAATTGTATTGGATATTTTCCTCTTGAAAGTGCTTCTGTAAATTTACCTTCAAAAGATATTTAATAATCTGTTAATTTTTTTATTTTTAAAAATTCCTGTTATATTTTCCTTTAGGTAGTTTTAATACTCTTGTTTACTTTTAATTGCTAGATGACTTTTGTCTAATTATGTTTATTTATGGGGCGAATTTTAATTGATATTTCCCTCTTCAAATGATGTCTATAAATTTAGCTTAAAATGATATATTTTTTTCTATTTGATATACTATATTTTTTCTTATTTTTACAATTATCGCAGTTACATTTTCCTTTAGGCATATTTAATACTCATATTTAATTTTAATGATTTTTTTTTGTAATTACTAGCTAGTTTATATCTAATTACGTTTATGTATGGGGTTAATTGTAATTGATATTACTTTGTCCAAAGGGCTTCTTTGAATTCCATCTATGATTAATTTATATTTCACTTATATTGTACTAGCTCTGATTTTTTTTAGTTTAATCCGTTATTTAATTAAAAGTAATATCTCGTTTTAATTTTTCCTGCATAGTAATAATTTCCTTTAATTAACTTATTTTATAATATTTATTTTAAAATATCATTTTACAACCTTTTTTCACAATCTTAAAAACCTTATCTTAATTTTAAAGAATGAAATTCCTTATATAAATTTTCCTATTTGAACAAGTGTTAATATTTGAAATATAGATTAAGGTTAATTTTTCTGATGTTAAATTTCCAACCGTCTCTATACTTTCGTCTAGACGAATCATTATGTCTCCCATTCATTCTCTCCTCATCTCTACCTTGTTTTTTCTTTATTTCTTTTTCTTTATTTCTTTTTCTTTATTTCTTTTTTTCTTTCTTCTTCTTTTCTTCTTTTCTTCTTTCTTCTCCTTTTCTTCTTTCTTCTTCTTTTCTTCTTTCTTCTTCTTTCTTCTTTTTTTCTTCTTCTTTTTTTTCTTTCTTCTTATTTTTTTTCTTATTTTTTCTTTCTTTTTTTTCTTTCTTTTTTCTTTTTTTCTTTCTTTTTTCTTTTTTTTCTTTTTTTTTTTTTTTTTTTCTTTTTTTTTTTTCTTCTTCTTTTTTTGTTCTTTTTTTTCGTTCTTCTTTTCTTTTTTTCTTCTTTTCTTTTTTCTTTTCTTTTTTTCTTCTTTCTTCTTTCTTCTTCTTTCTTCTTCTTTTCTTCTTTCTTCTTCTTTTCTTTTCTTCTTCTTTTCTTCTTCTTTTCTTCTTTCTTCTTTTCTTCTTTCCTTTCTTCTTTTCTTCTTCTTTTCTTCTTCTTTTCTTCTTTCTTCTTTTCTTCTTTCTTTTCTTCTTCTTTCTTCTTTTCTTCTTCTTTCTTCTTTTCTTCTTCTTTCTTCTTTTCTTCTTCTTTCTTCTTTTCTTCTTCTTTCTTCTTTTCTTCTTCTTTCTTCTTTTCTTCTTCTTTCTTTTTTTTTCTTTCTTTTTTCTTTTTTTTCTTTTCTCTTTTATCCCTTTTCAGATCCCTTTCCCCTTTCTTTCTTTTTCCGGTCTCCTTGAAATTTTTAAAAACCAGTTAGTCCTCATTTTTTTTATTTTATCAAAATTTTTAATTTTGACAAGCTCCAGAATTTTTTTCCGTTTTTCTCTTGGGAGCGAAATGGTCATACAAATGGGTTATTGGTTTGATTTTTATGTTATTTCTCTATACATGTTCCGTAATAAATACATTGGCCTCTCTTTGTGGATCAGTTTTAATATTTTATATTACTGTAGGATTCACTTCGGTTACTTACACACGGCTTTTTACATATAATGTCTCTGTCTGTGTGTGTGTGTATATATGTATGTATATAATATAAATTTCGAAGAAGATAGGATCCTGGCAGAACTCAATGTCCAGGACAGAGTAAAAATATAATATAAAAGGCTCAAACACTAATATTCCATGGTTATAATTTATTACATTGGAATCCAATGTGATAAATTATAAACATGGATTATTAGTGTTTGAGCTTTTTATATTATATATATATAATTTATTGTTTTATTATGTATATGATTTATTTATGTGATCTATGTACTTTTAAATTTTGCTTTCTTCATTAATTTATTTAGTTTATTATTTTGATTTTTTTTTATCTATTTTTGTGTTGGATAAATTTTCCGTTTTTTTTTCCTTTTATTTCTTAAATGGTTTTTAATTTACATACTATTAAATAATTATTGTTGAATTATATTGCCTCTCTGGCCAAAATATCAAACATTTGAGCGACGTTACATCGTATCAATTCCGTTTACAACAGATCATTTGTATCCATTGAATTTGTATTTATATCAACATCTTACTTAACATGTACGATTTTGATTCGTTGTCCCATTCTTCCTTACATTTCTAAATCATCTTTTGTTTTAAGTTTCTCTTCTCTCCTTTTTTGGAGAGGGGGGATTATATCTTGTCTTTCTTTCTTTCTCTCTCTCCTTATATTATTGTCTGTCTTATTTTTTTCCTTCTTTGAAGAGACTATATCTTATATTTCTTACTTTTCTTAGACTATATCTTGTGCCTTTTTTTTTTTTTTAAGTGTATCTTATGTCTTTCTTGCTTTCGTTGTTTTCTTTCTTCACGGGAAAAGAGATCGTTAGCAAATAAATATTAAAAAATTGTACTAACTTCCACTTACCACCGCCTGATGAGATACTATGAAAGGCATCGAAAAATGAATGCATTGATGTAGCAGTGTACATATGTTCGAATGTAATATAATAAAGAAGTATAGATCAACTATTTTGAGTCCTATTTTAAAATAATGTTCTGAACGTTTGAATTGATATTCGATTCGCTCTCTTTACATTTAGATATTCACACACACACACACACACTACTCAAAAAGTGGGATAAATGCCCCCAGTTCAAATTTTAGTTAAGCTCATTGCCTTCGCTTTCGCACAAATACTTTGAAAAGATATGAATCCATCTCTCTGTCCCCAGCTTCGGCAGTAGGCAGAATGAATTTTCTAAACTTGGATGGCAACTAGCCTCGGAGAATGACAACTCTGAATTCGAAAAGAACCTTAAGTGGTATATACTCCGTCAAGTTAAATTGTCCTAGACATATGCGCTGCTGCCGCGGTGGGATAATCTGTCTCAATGACCTTAATGAGCTTTTGGACTCATGATTTCGACGATCTTCTGCTGTTTCTGAAATCGTTATTTTTTTTTATTTTTATTTTTTGTTGCTTATTTCTTTGCCTTTTTTTTTTATCTCTAACCTTGTTCTCTTTAGCGTTCTCCTTTTTCTTTTTATTTCACTCTGCGATTCATGCTTTAATCTTTTCTTCCCTTTGCTTATATTTATCTTAACCGTAAGCACTGGAGTCCAATTTTCTCGCTTCACTTTGCAATTGTCTCCAGGATGCGTACTTCAAACTAGGACGATGTCTTGCATGGTCGAATTCCATTATTTGCGGCTGAATATGAGCCGATTGAAGTCACAAGAATTGATAAAAAAAAAAGACTACATGCCATTTCTTACATTTGCTCATGGTGAGTTATGTAGATGTTCCCAGTGCATTCATAGATGCTTTTTTCCTCACACGTATTTGGCTGATACGTGTCTAGCCCAGCAAAGAAGCATATGCATTTTTTTTTTTTTGAGTTTTATTTTTATAAGATGTTTTCGCAATACAAACCTAATGATATGCGGACCCACACAAAAACTCTGTAAATCTGTTATTGCTTTAGAATTTGTGTTTTATTCTCGAGAATATGTGTCTGTACCAAAGTCATCTGAGATTTTCCGGTTTTATAACTTATTAAATGTTCGAACCGTGAATCAAGCTTCATCCCATTTCAGTCACGTCGTCATTATAGATGAAAAACTTTTTTTATTCACACAGAGAATACGCGTCTATTTAATTTCACGCCCGGTTCTTTGGCGCCAAACTCCTGTCTATAAAAGACTACGGTTTAGTATCATCTAAAATAAAAAAAAAACGAAATACAGTCAAAGACGCCTGAGATTATTCCTTGTTTTTAGCATCAGTTTTTCCTTTATTCATATATTACGTCATCGGCTTGTTCTCTGTTGGAGATCTAAAGACACGTTAATCTAAAATCTTATGTTGTATAATAGCACTCACATCTTTAGAGTAAATTTCCACGTATCCGATACTGAGAGAATTGTACACTAGTTTTGACTGCAGGCGAGAGTTTATCGGAAATATTGTGGACAAATTTGTGAAATGCAGTGGCTTCCTGTTAAAAGGGGATGTCAAATTAAAATCACTATGCTACGTCATTATTTTCGTTTTTACGACAGATCCTGGTCTACGTAGAAAATCAGAATAACCAGCAGAATCAGAAATTTATTATCTTAAATCATTACTGAGTGCATTTCTGCGCTGGGAAAAGCAACAAATGAAGAGGTGGAAGGCAAACGTATAATATAAATGGTTTATAATTCGTGTGTCGCATGAGATATCGTTTTCTCTAACGTGACAATGGCAAGATTTATGGATATCGGGCGAGGTAATCAATCTATCTGAATGTGTATCGCTAGTAAAATCGAATAAAAAATGACTTTCTATTTCATCAAGAAAAATAATCTATTATTTCGTGATTACATGTTTTAGCGAAGGTGAACGCAATGCCGGAAGACAGTAAGCAAGAAGCCAAAAGAAAGATTAATTTTTGCAAAATTTTATTAACATAATCTTTATTTTCTTTGTCTTCAATTTGTCAGACGTTATAAATTTTTATTAATGAGGACTTTTACAACGTACGATTCAGTCTCCGCTGAGAAATACGGAACACAACACTCGAATGGATTTATTAAATAAAGAAATATATTATGATAATATGCTTCATCTCCTCGAATTTGTCAACTAGATAATCCAACAAAAATAAGGGAAATTAGACAGATTCTCGGGTGAAGGGTTCGATCCTCATAGATGATGCTCATGGTGTGGCTTTAGGAAGGACTAAACTACGCAGGAAAAATGTGAAAATAAAAATTCTGGATGGTAGCTTCAAATGAGCAAACCAACATTTATATTATTTTCCCCAGAGTAACTCGCACCAACCATCCTTTTTTTAACTAAAAATCAAGTCGGGACGATAACCATTGTGAACTTGACAATCTTTTCATTAACTGCATTTAGTATGTTCTTCAAGTTTAAATACGGTTTTGAATTTAGAGTTTCCGTCTCCTAGACTAGTTGCCAAACAAGACTAAAGAGCCAGGTATTCTCTACCATTTAACGCATAGCAGAGAGGAAAGAGATGGGCCATACTGTTTCTAATAATATTTGGCTGTATATAAATGTAATGAGCGCGAGAGCAATTTGAACTCGGCTCCCTTTTTTCCTATCTCAAGGCGTTATTACACCACTTGCACGTCTGATGAAGTTTCTAATTACTAGAGCAGAACTCTAAATACTGCGACAGCATCTTTCACATTGCAGTAAAGGAAGACAACTTGTGTATTCAGACGTCAGTGTGAGTGTTTCGTTTACAGGGATTAGGATATTTTGTCTTTTGTCTGCCTGTACGCGTATGGGCGCTTTGCATTAAAGCGACCTTGTGTCACACACCATCATTTCTTTGCTCGAAGGGCGGATGTTTGGTAGCTACTGACGTTAACTTGACAATGATCCTGGAGACGGGGTTAATTTTTCCTTGGCCCATATGTACATGTATGGTCAACTAACATTAAGCATAGAACATGTTAAATTCCATCTCTTCAGGTAATATTAAATATCAGTATTGAAATCTGAAGAGTTATTTTTGCTTATCGACTTTAAAAGATGTTTCATTTGTCCAATTTAAAGTACATTGACTTTAACAAATTTGTGGAACATCGTAGATTATACGATGTCCTTACCTAGTTTCAATCCCTTTTGTTCTTTGGATTTATCTTGTTAGTTGCTTAAAAACAGCACTCCGCGCTGAGTTCTAAGCTAGCTCCTGCACAGGGCTAATTAGGATTGGCGGAAAACTAAGGGGACCTCTACTCCAGCTTAAAAAAAACAGCAATGATAATTTTGAAGAAATAACTGAATTCCTCAATTCATTTCATAGAATGAAACCTTATTTTAAGTCCAATTCCGGTCAAAAGACCGATTTTCAAATCACAAACACTGTGGAATTTGAAAACTAGACGTCGCAAAACATATCACACCAATTCTGATTCCTTGGCATTTGAAGAAATAAAATTGATTTCCTCAATACACAGTTTTGGAAATATTTTAAACTGAATTTTAAAAAAAAATAAATTGTCAAATTTGGTGTTCAGTATAAATTAAAAACTTTTGTATTCACTATTTTTTTTTATTTTTTTAAATATTTTAAAATTTGAATTTGCAACTGTTCCCTCATCCAGGCACAAATCTCAATGCTGGATATTCAAGCACCAGATGAAGGTTAGACTGTTCAATCTGATTCGAAAAAGGTATATGTTTATGTACAGCAAGTGTGGTAAAAGGGATTCCAGACGCACAAATATAATTTGCCGTTTATTTATTCAGATAGTTTAAAAATCTCATTCCTGCAAAGTTATCAGCAAATTACTTTGAAACTTTACAAATAATGGTGAATTAGATATGCAGTACTTTAAAATGAAACAATTGGAAGAATGCTTGTTTCCTATAGAATTTAGCTAAAATCCAATAAAAAATATTTCCTGGTGTCTGTTGTAAGGCTTTCGGCCTCGAACTAAACAATGAGTCGAAGGAATGGAAGTATACATCTTATTTATTTCACAAAATGTTTAATGCACATAGAGAGCCTAACAGTATACAGAATTCGGCAGAAATACCTTCACCATAATAGTAAGACATCAACTAGATGAAGACGCCATTGCCATTATTGTCGTTATTATGTGGGAAGTATCTGGTGTAGGGGTATTTCTGCCGCACCTTATACTTGCAGAAATTCTTTAAAAAAATATTCCGAAAATTGGTTGGAAGCAAACACAGGAACAGAAAGGTAGTACGTGCCCAATAGGTTGACTAGGCAACATAAATCCACACTTCTCGTCTTGATCTCGAATACTCGGCTCAATGTCCCGAACGAAAAGCTGAACACCTCTTAAATGAGCATAACATGATTTTATACATCTGACCCAGCCAACACTCAGCCAATGAGCGCCCAGAACCAGCCAATAAAATGGCTACAAGCAACACAACCATATCTATAAGCACGAAGTTCTGTCTGATTCACTCTTTGTCCGAAGCTCGTCGATTCACCGTCTCCACACTCCCTTGCAAAACATACACGTGACTTTGGCTCTTGTGGGTCGCCGAGGTAAGTTACTACTAGAAAAATAATTTTTCTAACAAAATTTCTCGAAGATTCAGGTTGGTAGATGTAAATAAATAAATAAATAGATACACTGTTTAATAAATAAATAAAACAGCATCTACTCAAATATGAGAATCCATTAAAAATAACGGTTAAACATATATATATATATATATATTATAATAATATTTTTTGTTTAAAATTTTAGGAAATTTTAGGAAATTCCTAAAATTTCGCTTGAAGATGAAACGGGACTAAACACCACAATCAAACTTAATTTTAATAATTATTTGGATGATTTCGGCTCTCGTTTTTGAAACATGAGAACTCTTATGTAGCGAAGGAATCATATTTTTAAACAAAAAATATTATTATAATATAAGCTCTACTTCTGTATGGAGCACTGTATTCTTGAAAATAAAAACAAAAATACTAAGGAACCCCGGATTATGCGCCCAACGTGTTCTTTTTCTATTTTCTGCATACCTACGCACTTTATTTATATATATATATATATATATATATATATATACTTAGAATTAAAAAAAATCATCCTTGATACAGTGTAATCCGGATATAAGAGAGATTTTCTCTGGTCCCAAAGTGTTCCCATACTTACCTAAACAAAATAGACCAAACCCGGATATAAGAGACTTCTTCTTCGGTCCCGACTACTCTCTTATATCCGTGTTACACTGTAATGGATAAGACAACAGCCGAAGTCGACATAAACATTCTGACATTTTTTTTTTACTCATCTTATGCCCAGAAGAGAAAAAAAAACGTATATAAAAACAAGAAAAATTAAATCAAAACTTGTATAAACGCAGTACCTTCTCAGTCGTCTTTAATGAAACATGTACAAAAGGGTATTCCTGCTATATATATATATATATATATATATATATATATATGAGAGAGAGAGATTTAATATTTTTCATTCTTCAAGCTTTGGGTTCATGTGATTTTTTTTTTTTTTTTGACTAGAGTAAACCTCTCACAGTGATCGGCATTAGACGACAGCTCCCTTCACGCGCACGCGTCTCTGTATTTCATCTCCGAGCGTGCATTTGTTATTCTATCCGCGCGTGCTTCTATCTGTCTCTAAAAATTGCTCAGTTTTCTTTTATCTACCGCATTTCTGTAAACATAGCCATTTATTTTTCTCAGTTTTCTCATTTAATCACTGGGATTGCATCGTTCATTTTTGTTCGATATTTTCTTTTTCTTGTTTCTCTCGATTACTTTCCTTTCTTCTGTCACGTTGTTAGAATGTCGAAAATTTCATTTTAATCTGTCTGTGCATAAAATTTCAATCACACAGTCCAAATTTGCTTCTCTTTTTCGTATACAATTTTCCCTCTCTGTATAACCTATATACATAGATAAATGTCAGTGTGTTCCTTGTACACTTTTCTACATAGAGTCGGTAACAATTTATCAATTTAAAAACGAATCTAAAGACATTTGATTGGGTGCAGCTTTTTCTTGTATGCCATATTCTTGTTGTGATTACATGGGTGTCTGTTGCCAGGGAAACCAAAATCAATCATGGTAAATTATCGTTAACTGGGAAGGACCGCACTCGACTTTTCCTTAACTTTTCGTTTTCTTTCCTATTTGAAATTCTGCCTTTCACGCTTGTTTTGTTTTTCCCTTTCTTTCAAACTCCATGTCTGCTTCATCGGCCAGTTATTACGACATTGCTGCCAAAAACAAGTTGTATGAATTTGCAATAACTGTTTAAGCATGAATTGTGCATTTATCTGGACGCCTCCTGAGGAAAAACAAATGTTCAGTCTGCTATCAGAATGTGATCTTGTTGACTAGAAGCAATACTTTTAACTCCGGCTGACTAGAAATATCTTTAGTGAATAGTATCCACGATTATGTTTTTAGAAGTACAATTTTATATCCTTATTATTGTTGTTAAAAGTTAGCTAACAAGGTTTGCAGTTTGTTTTGAATAAATTCATGCAAGCGGTTAAATAAAAAAAAATAGCTTATATTATTTTTTTTTTTATTTGTTTATTCGGCTTAGTTTCATTCCTCCATGTATTGTTCGGTTAAAAGTTAAGCAAAGTATTAGCAACATCTTGGGAAATACGCAAAAATCAGAAATATTGATTGATATCGACATGGTTGGACCGAGAACTTTTCAGTATATCTTAATTTGATCACTGAAAATATAATTAGGATTGGGATTTTGATCGAGTTGGTCCAACCAAGGCAAAAATGCAACCAATACGCAACAGGCTACTGTGTGTAAAAGAAAATTAAAATATTTTACGGAGAACCGGAAACCCAATCCTAACCAGGGAACAACGGATAAAATTCTATTCCTGTTCAGTGGAGGAGTGTGAACCGGCCGATGGGCGAACATATCTACTCCTATTAATACAATTTCTTTGATCGTTATTCACACAATTATCAGTAAACTATATGATGGACTCTCCCGTCGGTTTCGACAACTTCGTTTATTTAACCTTGTGTGTGAGTCGCAAGTGACATTTCAGGCCTGCTAGTGATTTGCAAAGAAGCCCACAGATTGTGCAAGAGTGTGGATTCTTGGAGTATATGGCTGGAACAGCAGCAGATATTTTATTCCTTTCCCTAGTTTGACGAAGCTTGACAATGTTTGATGCTGCTTTGTTCTTCATGCCATTGTAGCATGTAGTCTTCCATTCATTATATATATATATACTATATATATATATATATATAATATATATATATATATATATATATATATATATATATATATATATATATATATATATATATATATATATATACATATATATATATATATATATATATATATATATATATATATATATATATATATATATATATATATATACACATATATATATATATATATATATATATATATATACATATATATATATATATATATATATATATATATATATATATATATATATATATATATATATATATATATATATATATATATATATATATATATATATATATATATATATATATATATATATATATATATATATATATATATATATATATATATATACACAATATATATATATATATATATATATATATATATATATATATATATATATATATATATATATATATATATATATATATATATATATATATATATATATATATATATATATATATATATATATATATATATATATATATACATATATAATATATATATATATATATATATATATATATACATAATATATATATATATATATATATATATATATATATATATATATTTATATATATATACCATTTTGGCCTCTGAAGTATCTAAATGTTTATTATACGGATAAACATTATTAAGCAAGTATATATAAAATAAACTTACCACATTTTCTTCACGGTACATTGTTGAAACTTGGAGAAAAATAAAATAATGCATCTTTGAACAGAAGAAGTATCTTACACACAACAACTTATCAAATACATTAGTCATATATTGAAATAAATTCAACCGAAACTTTAATCTAAATAATGTCACACTTCTTAAAATAGGAAATTACTTTCCAGTGAGTGGTGGTACAAATCTTATCAAAATATAAATCTGCGGTCCGGATTTTTTTCAAAAATCGCTTTTCCTGAAAGAATCATCTCTTTCCCAAGGGCAACAATGACTATAAAGAATTAAATGAAAACTGTTAAATTAATAACCTCCTCTTATTTAAAATATATAATACATAAATTACTAGCAAATAAAAATAATTTAAAAATTAATTACTTTAAAAATAACAAAAATCTCTTGTTTATTAGCCATTAATTTACGTCATTTACTATCTTCCATAATTAACACAGAATTTTCAGTTCACCCGGTGAATATTTATCAGCCTTTCTTAAATGTAAAAACCTTGATATATAAACATTTTTGTTTTTGTTGATAAATACTTGTTACAAAATAAAAACCTTAGATTTTCCTTGATAAAGTCCATAAAACGATGAAGCGCGTCGGCTTAGTTAAATTTTCTGTTTGTCTTTATTCATATATATATATATATATATATATATATATATATATAAATAAAGGTATCACACGTCCAATTTCTGCCGATAGATATATATTCGTTAATAAGAATTTAGTTTTTTTTCTAGGCCGATACATATCCATTTCTTTATGTTGAAGATGTCTACTAAAACACGTATAACCACTAAAGATAACATTGATAATAACAGTAAGTTATGTGCGTTTGATAAATTTAGACATGGATTTTCAAAAAGGGATTTGTGTGATTTTAATAAAGTTTATTCAGTAATATTTCAATGTTTCTTTTCATCACACTCAGAACATGATGAAACTATGGACTTGGCGTCATTAATCTATAAAACGTTCAGACTTGCTAAATAAGTAACATAAAAGCAAATGGAACATATTGTAATGTATAAAAGGGTGAATATCTATTAGAACGCGAATACACGAGGCTCGTTGTATTTGTTCGAGAGTTGATATCATTATAATTTCGTAAAGAAAGTCTTTTCTAATATCGTATCCCTTTTGAGAAATGATATCTTTTAATCTTATCCTACGATATCTGAATAGATATTTCTTTAAATCTTATTCGCATTGATGAAATATTAAATGAGAAGCGTGCGCCTTTTTTTGCGCGGGCGGAACTTAACTAGGCCAGTCCGTTAGAAAATCATTGTCTGCGGATGCTACAATTGTTTCACTATGGAAATAGACCCCGTAAAGTGAATCTTGTGTCAGAAAATAATAAAAGAACAATAATAAGACTTTTGCTCATATCTTCCGTGACGTTAATTGTGCTATTTAATGCTTCTTCCTTCTCGAAAAAGAAAGTTCAGTCATAATTCATTTAATTATAACACAATTAAGATGGAGAAAGCGTCTCGTGTTAACCAATAAATTTAAAGAACAAGACAACCTGCTTTTATTTTCAGCGTTCTTTTTCTATAATTGCTCTTCACTTTTCGTCGTTCAAAGTTAAAACTTGTTTTAATTCTTCGAGTGACAAATCTTCTCGTTTTCATTCTTAATGCGTAGAAAAAAAATCCTATAAATGACAGTCATCCGATTCTTTATCAAAGGCGAAAGCATTTTAATCAAGAATATCGAATATAAAATTTAATGTAATTTCTTGAATTCAATAATTCTACCAAATTCTATGTAAATTAATTCCTATTTTGAGAGTTCGGAGTATAGAAATTGCGCAAGATACACCGAAAGGGACTATTAAATAGGAAAAAATGATTGTTTCAATGCAATTAGACTTGCAGAGGTCACCTTTACAGTTAATCTGAAGCCAAGAAACTATAATTTGCCATACCCTATAGTTTTTTGGGTTTTTTAAAGATTTTAAATAAATTCTGTTTTTTTTTTTAAAACAAAACATTGTACATGATATGAAACGCGTTTCAGGAAACTCCCATTCAAAATCTAGTTACATTGCAAAGAGTAAATATGAACAGATTTAAATCGGCAAACTTGCAAAGCAAACTATTCAGCGTTTATATTACGCAGCACACACATCGAACGCTCTATGCATCAATAAAAATATCATTCTACATACATAAAAGTATTTTATCTTTTTAGAGATCATTTACGTAAGCTTATTTAATGTGCACATTGAAACACTTTGATTATTTACAATCGGACTATTGTCCTCATCTTTGCTGTTATAATAACAACGTTTTGATCTTCATAAATCTACAATGGACAGAAAATCTACCGCTGTAGATTAAATAAATATTTCGGTTAACTGAATGATACCAGGATCGACTAGCAGCTGAATCTTTGTCATAACAACAAAGATAGGGACAATAGTCCGTGAGCAAATAATCTAAATAACTCGAGAAATCCAGACATTATTTATAATAATAATAATAATATTATTATTATTATTCACTCTTCATTTTATCTAAAACGTTTACAAGTACAGATACAATTGATGGAAGTGTAGTGTATTTTAGCGGTTTTAAACTGGAGTCTTAATTCGTTGATGCTACTAATAGATTCGGAAAGTGGGAGAAAAATTGAATAAAATCTGTCCATGTTGGATGGAAATTGGCGTAAACATTTTAAGGGTGTTTTTTTTTCTTTCTTGGAGTATAGATAAGAGGATGACCATCATGATTATTTAAAAGCAAGAAGAACCATGAGCAATCGAATTCTTTCAAAAGTGGTCGGATCATATGAAGATACAAAATCACGCACATGCACACGCAGAATGGAATATATTTTGCAATCAATCTCCACAAAGTCATGACAATAAAATTTTAAATGATTTATTGAAATA